CTAGAGTTGATAAATATATATTTTTTAATTTTTTAGTAAGTTCAATCCTTTTATTTTTCTAAATAAATTTGACTAGTGGGTTTTTTTCCCCCCCATTTTCGATAGTAATTATAATGAGAGATGCCTCATTTGAAATTTCAGTGATGGTTGTGATGTATTTGCTGGGCAAATAAAATACTTGCATATTTAATAAGTTGCAATAGAGCTATAAACTTTTAAATGGTCAAAAGAATTCTTTTTTCAGAGTTTCTGGCTTCATAAATAAATCTCACAAAATAGTATCACCTTCCCACTTCCCTGGCCTGTATATAAACATCCTAACTCCTCTTTTAGAGGATGATAAATATTAAGCACAAAATAACAGGATTAGAATGCAGTTTATGTTCTGAAAGCAAACCTAGTAAGGAAAAAAACAATCCACAGCTAAAGAAAACTATGCTCAAAACATTCCAGGTCTTTTATGTTAGACATTTGAATGAATATACTTAGCTTCTAAAAAATGAACATAAATGAAAGCACTGTTCACCAACTATTTAACACACCCTTACATACAATCCAGGATTATTCAGGTGGTAGTTTGCTCCATCAAAATATACACAGTCCTCTAGATAATGCTGACACCTGATCAAGTGCTCTGTGTTCCTAAGAATCTGATTAGTCTGGTAGGAGATGCTAGGTTTTCACCTTTACCTGCCCTGCCTGACCAATACTTTGGCCTTGGGTCCCAGCCTCAGGCATTCAGAGCTGTGCAGATTCACCCTGGGGCTCCTTTTGAGGGTCTGGATTCAGGCTCTGCACACTCAGCCTGGCTTCATGTGCTGCCCCCCAAAAAACTGTGCCTCCGAGCTTCCAACTGCTCCTTTCTTTAGCAGCGGCAGTATTTCTGGTCTGTAGAGATTTCTATTGAATTTTTATTTTTAAGTGTTGCTGTATGTTTGTTAATCTAATGTTTTTCCTATCATCCCTATGTGTTTGGAATAGAAGGGATCACTTTTGGCTTGTACTTAAATCTGTTGTTTTTTGAATTATTATTATTATTTTATTTTTATTATGTTATGTTAGTCACCATACAATACATCATTAGTTTTTGATGTAGTGATCCACGATCCATTGTTTTCGTATAACACCCAGTGCTCCATGCAGTACGTGCCCTCCTTAATACCCATCACCGGGCTCACCCATCCCCCATCCCCTCCCCTCTAAAACCCTGTTTGTTTCTCAGAGTCCATAGTCTCTCATGGTTCATGGTTCTCAAACTCAACACCCAAAAAACAAATAATCAAGTCCAAAAATGGGCAGAAGACATGAAAAGACACTTCTCTGAAGAAGACATACAAATGGTTAACAGACACATCAAAAAATGTTCATCATCATTAGCCATCAGGGAAATTCAAATCAAAACCACATTGAGCTACCACCTTACTCCAGTTAGAATGGAAAAAATGGACAGGGAAAGAAACAACAAATTTTGGAGAGGTTGTGGAGAAAGGGGAACCCTCTTACACTGTTGGTGGGAATGCAAGTTGGTACAGCCACTTTGGAAAACAGTGTGGAGGTTCCTCAAAAAATTTAAAAATAGAGCTACCCTATGACCCAGCAATTGCACTCCTGGGTATTTACCCCGAAGACACAGATGTAGTGAAAAGAAAGGCCATATGCACCCCAATGTTCATAGCAGCAATGTCCGCAATAGCCAAACTGTAGAAAGAGCCGAGATGTCCTTCAACAGATGAATGGATAAAGAAGATGTGGTCCATATATACAATGGAATATTACTCAGCCATCAAAGGATGAATACCCAACTTTTACATCAACATGGATGGGACTGGAGGAGATTATGCTAAGTGAAATAAGTCAAGCAGAGAAAGTCAGTTATCAGTCAGTCAGATATCATATCATTTCACTTATTTGTGGAACGTAAAGAATAGCATGAAGGACATTAGGAGAAGGAAGGGAAAAATGAAGGGGGGGAAATCGGAGGGAGAGATGAACCATGAGAGACTACATCTGTTATTTTAAACTAGAAGTCAATATTCTGATCCTATAATACAGCCACATAAAACAGAAATGTATATAGAGTAATGATTACTCAGTAATAGCTAGTCGGAAACAGAACTTGCTTTTGCTTGCAACCCTTCTATTTTTTTTTCAAGTTTTTGAATAGGTAACACATTCCTATGGTTCATAAACTAAAAACAGATTTTCCTTGAAAGTCTGGTAAATTTGGACTACATCACACGAGTGTGTTTTTCCACTGTGCATGTGGTGGGGTTTGTTGTAAGGGGACCCTAGTGAGCCATTATACTGGGACAACTCATGTCAGAATCTTTAGGCTGTCCAAATATCACAGAGAAGAATGTTCCAGTTTCCTGCATAGATACTGGATACTAAATTAGAACAGAAGTGGATAAACATTTATTTAATTCTTTTGTTTTCGCCAAGGACCATGTTATAGACTAAACTGTGTCTTGCTGAAATTTGTATGTTAAAGTCCTACCCCCAATGTGACTGTATTTGGAGATAGGGACTATCGGAGGTAATAAAGGTTAATTGAAGTCATAAGGGTGAGGTCTTAATCCACTAGGACTGGTGTCTTTAAGAAGAAAGACACCAGAGTGCTCTTTGTCTCTGAGTGTGCACAGAGGAAAGGCCAGGTGAGGACACAGAAGGCAGCCATGTGCAGCCATGTACAGCCATGTACAGCCCAGGGAGAGTCCTAGTCCAACCAGAAAACAACCCTCAGGTCTTGGACTTCTGGCCTCCATCCAGAACTGTGAGCAAACGTCTGTTGTTCAAGCCCCCCAGTCTGTGGTATTTTGTTATGACAGCCTGAGCAGACTAATATAGTGTACATATCCTCCCTTGGGAGCCTTCTTCCTTCTCAAGAGACTCACCCAGTCATCTGGGGAGAACGATTCCCCTGGTGGCATAGAATGGGCAAAGGGAGCTGACATTCTAACTGAATTTTAAACAGACTATCAACACACATCTCTCTCTCTTTTTATTCCTATTTTACTCCCACTTCTAGAGATACTTATTATAATTTCCAAACTTTTGAAGGATCTGCAGTGTAAAGCAGGTGGCTTTCCATTTTTTTTTTCCATTGGGAGATGAAGATTTGCTTTACCTTTTTTTGTTGTTGTTACAAAGGCAATTACCACTTATGCAACTTGCTATCCAATTCCCAAAATGCTGCTATCATCTCCATTTCTCTGTTCGTTCTTTTATACTTTTATTTTTTAAATTCCACTAAGAGTTGTTTAGCGAGAATTCAGAAAAAAAGAGTACCTAAATGATTATGTTCAGTCCCCTTCATCATTAATTGGAAATTACCTCTCTTTTGAAGCACTAACCCCAATGATTTTTTTTTAATTTCTCTGTGTTATATGATTATGTATATATATTTATTTTACATTTTGGGGGGATCTTCCTGTAATGAGAGTCCCATGAGGATATCCCATGGGATAAAGATGGTGAGGATTCTGACTCACTATTTTACTTACTATTGTATCCTCAGTACCTACACAGTAAGTGCGGACAGACACACAGCAGAGGTTCAATAATCATTTCTGAATCAACAAGGTATTCCTCAGGTTTTCATGGTTTGTCTATATTCTTTCTGGATGTAAATCCTACTGTCCTCACTCTAATTCCACTTTCTCCCAGCTCATATTGATATTGTCTTCTGATCACTGACCAAGATGCAATTGGGATGAAGCAATAAAGATATGTTTATACTTGCCTGTAGAGGAGTGAGGATTGAAAAAGCATTATGAAAGTTATGATTTCCCTAAGTCCTCTAAATATTTCCAAATAACAGCACTCCAAATGCTTAAACATCATTAATTTTTTTGTTCAATACCCTAAATATCATGTAAGATTTTAAGCAATGCTCAATATTCAACCCAATTAAATAGCTTTTTTTTTTTCAAAAGGTTAACACGGTTACCATCTACAAGTATCTTCTTTTTTAAAAAAAAAAAACATTAAGCCTCTGTCAAAAATGTATTTCTTATTTTAGGGTACAGGATTAAAGGACAAAATGATACTTACAAGTAAAGAAAAAATTACAAGAAAAAACTTGACAAGCTTTTCAATTGAAGTACTGTAACATTCAAACTTGACTTAAAACATAACAAAAGAAAATTGCAAACGAAAACTCTTTATGGATTTTCCAAACATAAATAAATGAAATAGTGTTTAGGCAGTAGGGCTCATGCTGATGGCTAGCAGGAAGTAACAGAGTGTAATCTACTTGGAAATATCGTTACTGTACAAACAAGCCCCGATCAAGGACTGCAGCAGTTTCATCATCACTGCCATTGTTCTTACTTCCAAAATCAAGCCTTGATTCAACCATTCATACCCTGGATTACTCATACCTTTACTTCAGAGATTGAGGAACTATATACAAAAAATGAATTTATTTTCACCATAGGGATAACAATATTGTACCTCTCTGTCAATGTTACTTGAAAACCTTCCATGTCAAAACAATTTGACAGCAGATATAAACAATTCAATAAATACACAATGATCTTTCATTATAGTCCTTTAAAGATGCATGTTAATTCATGCTGTTAACCTTAGGATCACAGTGCATAGAACCCAAATATAAACAGTTGGGGTGACTTTCAAAGTAATGTTGGATCCCTCACTTTATTTATAATCCCACTATAACCAATAAATTCATTTCATAGGCCCTATCATGCATTAATTATTGGGTGGCAGGAATTAATGAAAATTTTTCCTATTAAACGTCCATTGCCGGCAATGAACGTCCCAAAACCGCCAAGGAAGTCATTGTTATTGCACAGTACATGAGGACCTGGAACTTTTCCAAAAGCTTAAAAAAATAAAAATAAAAAATGGAATTTATTGACATTTCCTGACACCTGCATTAATACTGTATGACTAATAAAAGCATGTCAGTTGCCTGGACTGAACCAGCGATCAACATGCGCCCAGAATGCACACGAGTAAAAATGCAGTAAAAGGAAGTAGTCTTCATTGCCTATAGGTCACTTCCAGTCAAAGGTTAAAGTTCAAAGACTGAATGATCAAAGTGCTCATTTTCTCAGTAGGACTATCTTCTGCTAGGAGGATGGTAACAGTGGCATCAACAAGTATCATTATGATACCACCATTTTGTTTTCTTTGGATTCTTGTTACATGTTCGAACATAAAAAGAATTATCTGGTGGTCGTCTCTTTTCTTTGCAGCTGGAAAGCATGCTAATAATGCTAAGACAAACTGACTGGACTGAGAGCGCTGGGGACCAGTCTTCTGTTAGAATGGATAAACAGATATGACCGTTGCTATAAACACGAGGATGAACGGGAATATTTTCACCAGTAAACATGACCTGAGGAGAGTCAAAAGGATATCGACTACCAAACTTAAATAGAAGTTGAAATTTTTCCCCTTCATATAAGGTACCTGGTGCACCTTCCATGTCTACAATCCACTGTGTAATTGAATTCTGAACACTCTTTTCATTTTAAATCATTCCAGGAGGTGGGTCATTTTGCAAAGCCAACAGTTCTTTCTGCAGTCGTTTCTGCATTGACGCCATGATGGAACCATCCCCCCAAGGCCCCATCTACAAGTATCTTGAATACTACCTGGAGTATATATAACTCACTTTAGGAAACACATTATAAATATATAAGTATATTTATAAATATATACATAAATATAAATAAAGAACAACATCAACCATATTATTTCTAACAACTCTCAGCTTAATTTAAAATTAGTCACCATGGATTAAACTGAAATGAGCCAAAACCTGATTGGTGTTTTAGGATTTTAGCATGAAAAGGTTAGTGTTTATTTTATCATATAATGAAGGGTTAGAAAATTCATTTAAGTTGATTTTTTATGAAATTAGTTTAATTATAAATAAATACAATGCCTGTACTTTATTGGGGAGTAAATATTAGTCTTAAAATATACTAAAAATTAACATAACAATAACAATAAAAAAATTAAAAATATACAAGAAAACACAATTAAATATTTTATTTTTGTGCCAAATAACCCAGTGATGTTTGCTATAGCCCTCAAGTCTGAATTAATGGTGTGTTCACTTTTTACTGTTATGGGTTAAAATAGAAAACCAGGATGTTCTTCAATAAGATGTGGACTTTATAATCTAGGTTTATATCTAAATGATAATGCCTTTATGATTCTTTTGGGAAAAATCCATTTTGTACTTACCTACAATGTCATTCATAAGGCCTACAATAGTCTCATCTCCTGTAATCCAGGGACGTTTTCCTAGGTCATGACCATAGGCTCCCCTGAAATTGAAAAGGGACATAGACACTATTAGATTTGTGTGTGTGTATGTGCGTGCATGTGTAATTTTTCATGTATCAGCATTAGCAACTGGACATTTCTAAATGAATCTTTGTAATGTTTTAGTAATTATACAAAATCGTGCTTCTTTAAAACCAAAAGTAATACTTGAGAACTCTATTTTTCAACTTGTCATTTCTTAATTTCTTTAATTTCCATTTTATTGGAGGGTAGTTAAGATTGCCTATGTACTACTTCATTATTTTACTCTATTTTAGAGTCTAAGATATTGTTTTTTTTCTTCTCTATTTTGAAAATGTCAAGACTATTTGAACATTCTACTTGTATACCTGTAGCATATAGTAATATCTATACTAAAACGTAGCTACTATTTTTTGAGGCTAGAAATTAAAATGATTGTAAATTCAGTTTTTAAATACAGCTACAATCTGTAAACTAAAGTGTATAAAATGTGACTATATTCATGATGACATTTTAAGTAGATAAATAAACTTGGCAATAAAGCCAACATTACATCTTGACCTATTTTCTAGCAATTTCATCTCCCATATTCTAGCTCAATTATATTATTCTAGTAAGTATCCCAGTAGGCATAATGGCAAAACACAAAAGAGGTAAGAGAACTTACACTCTAAAGAAGTTTCCATTAAATGAGGAAGGAAATAACATTTGAAATATGGAAGAAGAAACTGAAACAAAGAATCAAGGTGGGAGTGACTAAATGTGCTGTTGCAAACTTGTGGCAGGAAGCTTGGAATTAATTGTTCTTAATTCCTTAGGAACCCCAAAACTCCCGAATGAGCCCGGTATTTTTTCTATAGTGCAAACTGTGCTTGAATCTATACTCTGAAATTCAGTAAGTTGGCAGTAGTGAGTGGTAAACCTGTTCTCAGAGGTGAAGTGTAGCAGAATATGTCACCCCAACATATGTCGCTGTGGTAGATTGATTATCTTGAGCTATAGGCACTTGAAAACAGCAAGTGCAGCCAGAGGCTGTCTCTGTACTCCCCTATCTGCCTGAAGACAGATCTTTCAAAAGGAACTCAATTGCCATAAATCCCCTCCCCAGCAGTTTCACCAACCAGGGAAGATTGAGTCTTGCCACAGGAGAGGAGACTAGAAGTCAACACCACACTCAGATGGGCTTTGTCACAACCTATGGTAACTTTTTTCTGTTCTTCTAAGGGCTCTTCATCTTTCCTAAAAATCACTTATTCCGCTTTAAGTGGCCTACGTCCTCCCCCTCTTTCCTTAAGATAGGATTTAAGCCCAAATTCTAAGTCATCGCGGGGAGGGGGAGGTCCTTTGTCCCCCATGTGTCTCCTGTGTGTACAAGACCTATACGTGCTAATAAACTTGTGCAGGTTTTTTTCCTCTTGCTAAGCTGTCTTTTATTACAGGGGTCTCAGCTAAGAACTCCGAAGGGTCTGGGGAAAATTATTTTCTCTCTCAAGAGAGCAGTGGGTTAATAGGACGAAAGGAGCCCTGTTTTTAGCCTTTGTTGATTTTCATGATGTGAATATCCCCTGTGGTCCATTTCCTGGCATCAACCAAAATCCTTAATATTTAATGACTGGCTTTCATTGCCTGGTCTGAGCCAATTCCAGGTCACCACCGGTTATGAGACTACACGTATCGTAAACTGATAAAGCCTGTAAAAGTAAAAGTAAAAGTAAATGGGTGGCAATATGTACCTGAAAGGATGGCTGTGAAAAATAAGTAAGATAACATGTAAAAGAGACTGGCACATAGCACCCCTTTTCTGACTGTTCCCTAACGTAAATCTACTGCGTGGGCATGTGGGGTACAATGCAATTTTTAAACTAATATTTTGATTACCGTATAAACTGAGATGAGGTAAGAGGACTTTGAGAATAGAGACTCTAAGAACTAAGGAGGAAGAGAAGGGCAATTGCTAGTTATTATTATTCATATTATTATTAGATAGCCTGCAGCTTGCCTCTTTCTTGACTTCCAATATAAATGCTAAAGACAAAAATCATTATCATTAAATGGTAGTTAAAGGCAGATACTTGGATCCTTTTTTATTTTAATCACATAGGCTCCGTGGCCTTGCTGATAGCACAATACATCTTATTACATTTAGGTAGTAAAATTCTATGTTCTGCCTCAGAGAAGTTATGTTTCAGAATAGTAGGCCACCTACTTCTCACTCTGGTAGACACCGTGGTAATAATCTTTAAGAGTATGTTTCTTCCAGCCATGCTTTTGGCATCTCCCCCACCCCACCCCCCCGACCTTTAAAATATCACACACACAGTCTGCTTCTTTCCTTTTTGTCAGTTGACTAGCCTGGGGTAGTGAAATGTATTTAGGAAGTTGTTACCCCAATAAACTCAAACTAAAGTGGCCTGTCTTTATAAAGCCTTGATGTAGATTACAGTGCACTTTTAAACATATGTATGAGTTAAGAAAAAGATTACATTGCTCTCATTCAGAACTAATACTTGCAGCGTAGTTGCAATCTTCTCTTACAAGTGCTGCAAAGGAAAAGAGCGGGGCAGACAGTTCCCTCAGGACAGCAGCATTCATCATTCCCCCGAGTGGGGTGTGCTCGGATATGTCTACAGAGTGCTATCTGCTCATGAAATTAGATTTCAGGATGTAAAATCGAATTAGGAAGTTAATAGAGGATCCTCTTTGAAAGAGGACTCTGCTTTAACCACCCTACAAAAATAAAAAGTAGCCAGGCTTTTAAAAAGCTCCTCCCTGTCTCCCCCCCACCCACCCCTCCGCCCAAGGAAATAAGACATCACAGATTCCTTAATATCACCACTTTTTTTTTTAATCTATGATCCAATTGATTAGCCACCACAGATGTTAGGAAAATCTTTGTAACATGTCATACCATGTACATACTTTCTTATTCATACTGAAGGGCAGCGGACTATGCCACACCAAAATTCACCCCTTTGGCATAAAGATTACCTTGAGCTGAAGGCACCTGAAAAACAGCAAGTGTAGGGACAAGCTTCCTCTGAGCTTCCCCATCTGCTTAAAGACAGGTCCTCCAAAGGAACTCAACTATCATCAATCTCTCCCCAGGAATTTCATCAACCAGAGAAGATTGTCTCTGGTCCCACGAGAGGAGACTAGAAGTCGACACCACACCAGAAGACTTTGTCACAAACTATCACATCCCCCATCTATTCTTCTAAGTGCCTTTCATCCTTCCTAAAAATCATTTATTCTCCCCTAAGTAGCCTACATCCTCCTCCCCTTCCCCTACTAAGATGACATATAAACTCTCAAATTTCACAGATTTTTTTTCTTTTTTTTTTTGGTATTCACTTTTCCCCCCCTGGGATGCCCTCATGCCCATATTAATAATTAATAAGTAGTAATTATTATTTCCTGTTAATCTGTGTGTTGTCAGTTTATTTTATAGGTCTAGTTGTTGAATAAAGGGGGGTAGAGGGCGCATTTTTTTCTCCCCAGAATACACTTTTTTTAAAAAAAAGATTTTTATTTATTTATTTGACACAGAGAGAGAGCGCACAAGCAGGGAGAGAGGCAGAGGGAGAGGGAGAAGCAGGCTCCTCCCTGAGCAGGGAGCCTAAGGCGGGACTCAATCCCAGGACCCTGGGATCATGACCTGAGCCACCCAGGTGCCCCAACTTTTTTTTTTTTTAAAGGAACACATGAACTGAATAAGACTGCAGTGTCTGCAGAAGCACGCCTCCCCCTTGTGCTTCACCAGCACCCTTTCTGCACACATTGCCATTCAAGTCAGTCACTGTCCGCTAAGCACGCAGTTTGTTCCTAATATGTAATCCAGTGGGCTATTTTCTTCTTAAATAAGCCTACCTAAAGTGTCACACGGGTCTTAGAAGAATCCCTATAAAGATACAACTGGGTCAAATTTTTGCTCCCAGGAAAAAGAAAGAAAATCATTTATCGAGTAGATATGACAACGCAGAAGACCTAAACTCTTGTGGTTGTATCTTAGGGACAAGACTGAGAAATATACATTTCTCAACTTACAATGTGCTCTTCGGGATGGATATATCGGATATATCTTTCTCTTCTAGCCAAGCGTTCCCACTGTGATTATTAGCCCATGTTATTTTCCTTTAAATAATCTGGGCTGTTAATAAATCTATAATATATAAATATGTAATATTAAATGTTCTAAAAAAAATTCTGGCAGACCCACAGACCCCTATCAATGCTGTTTTTTATTGTTATAGCCCCATTTTGCTGGTAATTAATTATATATCAAATGAGTCAAATCACCATAAATTTCTTCTATTTCAGAATGTTAAAAATATCTGAATATTGTTATTTCCCAAAACAAATATACTTCTCCCAAGTAAAGTAATCTACTTTGGAAATCACATACAGTTGAAAATAACAATAATAAGCACTTAAAACCCACAGAAGTAAGTGCTTTATTTTCATTGCTTTGTCTTGAATAACTTAAAAGTTTTAGAAGAAGTCATTTAGGTCCAAAAATATTTCTAAGTATGCCTCTATTCTTGACTTTCCTCTAGCATAAGTAATCAAAGTCGGTAGCTGTATGAATTATAAAATCGGGCTGCCCTATGGCCAGTGATGGTTTATTTTGTAGATAGGTAAGTAGTATGTCTGTGATAGGACATAAAAGACAGAGCCATGGACATTAACAGCCATGAGCCAAGTGGTATTTCCTAGCTTATATGGCTTGGATGGCCAGTCAGACTTGTTATCAATATCCCAGAACAGTATCTCACTTAGTCAAAGGACTCTGATTTTTATGTTACTGTTAAGATTATACATTTCTAATATTATTTTTTTCCTGTTAAGCAACTAATTTCAGTTTGCATTAGAGTATTTAGTAACTATGTAGCTCTCTTTGACTCAGTCCTTCTCGAAATCTTCCATTGGTCAAGAAGAGAGGAAGGCACTGGCCTGATTTGGGTATCAGCTAAGAAGTAGGGCAGAAGTGGGGCTGGAGAAGGTGAAGAACAGGTAATCAGGAAAACTCACCACAATAATGGGAGGCCCTGGATCTAGAAGCAAACTAAACATGTGCATGGATATTTAGTACAAAAACAAAAGCGAGAGTCAGAAAGGGAAGTCAAGGGACCAACAGCCCACCATAGAGGCAAGAAGATTACTTTAAACTAAAAGTATGTGAACAAACAGCAGCCTAAGAAAGAAATGCTCCTTGACTTAAGGAGACTCTCCTGAAAATATAGCTGCCATTAGCCCACTCACAGATGGAAGGTAACTCAACACCAGGAGGTGCAAATTCAGATGCCATCAATCTCCCTCTAGGGGAGCTTCCAGGCAGGAAGGATATGCCCATTATCATCAGAATGAAAAGGTCCAATAAAACTTTCTATACCTCCTACTGAAGCCCTAAAACTGCCCCCTTTGGTTAAATTGGTATATGAACCCTTACCCCTAGCTATTCAGTGAGTCACTTTTTGTAGAGTACTTCTGCATGCCCATGAAAGAAACTTCTGTTAATCTATCTCTTATGGATGAATCCACAGGCCCTCAACCAATAGGCTGTAAACTGGTAGAGGAAAAGTTTTCCTCCCAACAGAACCTTAGCTGGAAAAGGCCAGAGTAAAATTTTAAGCTAACTATTTAGGACCAAAGAAATAGTGAACAAACACTTTTGAGATCAAAGATGGGCAGGAGGACAGAACACAACACGATTTTGACCTTGCCCCTCAAACACCACTGACATCAACAGAGAGACAGGGGGTGTGATGTCGACTGGGCCACCACGATTGAAAGCAAGAAGACTAAATAAAACTAAGCAAAGACAAAATAAAGCTAACTAGCTATCTAATCTTTTTCTCAGAAGTCTTTTAAATGTAGTTTACACTGCTTGAAGCATTAATATGCACCTCTTTTCTGAATCATCTGTCTAATGAAAAATTGGTAGAAGGCATTAAGATTACGTAATTTTCTATTGTCACAAGGTAAAATATAAAATTGAAAGTTAACAACAATAGAAGGGTGTTATGACAGAAAGGCACTTTCCTGGAATATAACTTTAAAGTCTTGAAAATAATCAACCAGTCTAATAAAGTAGGGTAATCACAAAGAGATGAATAGGATAGCAGGGCAGCATCTTTTTTTAAATGCCTAAAGGATAAAAATGCACAGCCTTGCTGAATGAATATCCAAGAGGCAAGGACACTCTCTAAAGTTCAAATTCAATCTAATTCTCTGCTCTCTTTTATATTAAGGCCAAAAATGAATATTAACCATTTTTATTAAGTATGACCCTCATTTTTTAAATACTAAAACCTGCTAAGCAAAATGCTTCCAAATGTGGTGATATTTATTTTTCAATTTATGCATACAACTTATGCAGATACAGTTATAACAGGCTTAATAAATTATATAAACCTCTATGATTTTTGCATTGAGGTGCAAATTTATATTCTTAACCACTGAAATTAAGAACTTTGCAGGGTAATCTAATGCCTGTGGTAGTAATCATTAGCACAGTCAGTGTAAAATAAACTTTAAAAAGAGGTACTGCTCCCAATATGAAAGACCAGTGGCATGAAAACTGAAGAAAGAAGACATTTGGAGTTTGAATGACAGCCAAATGTCTTGGTCAGAGTTCTTTTCTGATTTAGTTTCATTTTCCTGCATTTTTTTTCTGACCTTCAGGTTTGGCTTCCTCCTCATATCTATTTTCAGATCTTAATATTCAGGATGTATTTTAAGAATATTTCTACTCATTTTTAATATTTTTTTCTTTTTTTTAAATTCAATCACAATTAACATACAGAGTTCATCTGTTTCAGGTATAAAATATAGTGATGCAACAAATATACACATTACTCAGTGTTCATCATGATAAATTAATCCCCATCACCTATTTCACCCATGCCCCCACCACTTCCCCTCTGGTAACCATCAGTTTATTCTCTTTAAGAGTTTGTTTTTTGGTCTCTTTTTTTTCCTCTTTGTTCATTGTTTTGTTTCTTCAATTCCACAAATGAGTGAAATCATATGTTACTTGTTTTTCTCTGACTCTTATTTCACTTAACATTGTACTATTAGATCCATCCATGTTGTTGCAAATGGCAAGATGGCAAGATTTCATTTTTTTATGGCTGAGTAATACATACACACACACACACACACCTCTGTCCATCCATCTATGGATGGACACATGGGTTGCTTCCATATCTTGGCTATTATACAAAATGTTGCAATAAACATAGGCGTGCATACATCTTTTCCAATTAGTGCTTTTGTTTTGTTTGGGCAAATAACCAACAGTGGAATTACTGGATCATACGGTAATTCTATTTTTAATTTTTTAAGGAACATAGTGTTTTCCACAGTGGCTGCACCAGTTTGCATTCCCACCGTCAGTGCACGAGGGGTCCTTTTCTCCATATCCTTGCCAATATTTGTTATATCTTGTGTTTTTTATTTTAGCCATTCTGACAGGTATGAGGTGATAGCTCACTGCGGTCTTGATTTGTATTTCCCTGATGATTAGTGATGTTGAGCACCTTTTCATGTGTCTTATTTTTAATATTTTAAATATTAAAAAAAATTAAAATGATATTAATTTATAATAAAGTATTTTTTAAAACATTCTAGTTTCAGCTTTATTAGTAACTACTGAGGAAGGATGAAAGCACATAAAATTATTTTCCTAAAGGGATTTATAATATGGTTGAGAATATGAAGCTAATGAAAACAGATACCTCTAAACTGCCTATCCCCCAGCAGTGATTAATACAATGGGCAGTTAGGGAGAGATCGTCAGCATGGTTGAGAAGGTTGGGATTAAGGAAGGTAAGCATCCAGAGAAGCAGGGAGTGTCGGGGGTTTCTTAGGCAGAAGAGTAAAAGTAGAACAGAGAGATGGAGAAAAAAATGGATTTAAGATTTCAGATTCTTGCATGGTTGGAGCAAACCTGTTTAGCTAAGCCCAAATGGAGTATCTTCTCAATAAGCACACTCAGTCTGGAGAGGGCAGTACCTTCTGCTCCACTAATCTTTTTCTCCCCCTCAACAAATTTGTTTCCTTATTTATAAAAATTAGTGTAATAGAGTTTAGCAAGAACAACTCATGAAAACACTGAATTACATTCTAAATGTCAACTCCCTTATTAGCCATTAAATAAATAAAATAAAATGATTACATATGATTTAGATTGAAGAGGGACCTATTTTTTCTAATATTGTGAAAGTTTACTCTTGACTCTGTCATAACTTGCCATATGACCTTATTTACTGATCCTCAGTTATGTTATCAATAAAATGAGAGTATTGAATGACATGATTCTTAAGGTTCCTCTATGTCCTAAACTTCTAGGAGCCTACTGTACACCTTTCCAAATATTAGACAACCTAGTGTGATTTTTAAAGTTCTTAATGATTTGAAGGGATACATGCAACCCAATGTTTATAGCAGCATTACCAACAGTAGCCGATTATGGCAAGAGCCCAAATGTCCATCGACTGATGAATGGATAAAGAAGATGTGATTAAATATACACACACACACACACACACACACACAATGGAATATTACCCAGCCATCAAAATGAATGAAATCGTGCCATCTGCAACGATGTGGATGGAACTAGAGAGTATTATGCTAAAAAAAATAAGTCAGTCAGAGAAAAACAAATATCATATGATTTCATTCATATGGGGAATTTAAGAAACAAAACAAATGAACATCAGAGGAAAAAAAGAGAAACAAACCAAGAAACAGACTCTTAACTATAGAGAACAAACTGAGAGTTGTTGCAGAGGTGGTGTGTGGGGGAATGGGTTAAATAGGTGATGGGGATTAAGGCAGGCACTTGTTGTGAAGAAGAGTACTGGGTGCTGAATGTAAGTGATGAATCACTAAATTTCACACCAGAAACCAATACTGCACTGCATGTTAACTAACTTGACTTTAAATAAAAATTTGGAGGAAAAAAAAAAGTTCTTGTAGGAGATGTCAAATGATAGCTTTTGAAATAATACTTACATTTTGGCCCACTTATCTAGTTCTTCTTCCAGATATGTTTTAACCATTTTTGGTTGAAGGCCAAGAGAATTTCCCAAGAAATAGATGGCATTTTCATCCTTATTCACTAAAGATAAATCAACTGAAACAGAAAGAAATGAAAAAAAAAATGCTTATTCAATTAATTAACCTTCTTCCATTTGGCATTGTTGATCCAGTACCAATAATTAATATAATTAATTCCAATAAGGATAATAAATAACATAATTCTTCCCAAGGATAATATCAAGTTTTCAGAAAAATAATCTTTTACATTTGTATTTTAAAATATAATTTACATTTATAGACTTTTGTGGAGATCTCTCATTATTGTTCCATGAGGAAATCTAAATTAGCAGCTATTCCCAGTCATAAATAGATGAAGGCAATAAAAAAAAGTTAAAAACAGAATTTTTATAGGAAGTATATCAGCCCATCTAGTCATACTAGAAGGTTACCAGAGTCTAGGCACATACTAACCCTCTGCAGTAACTGGTGTTGTAAATAAGGCAAATAAAAAATATCTAAATGAGTATTTACATATCTGAAATAGATATACTGGATTTATACATTTTTTCACTCTATATCTCTATACACATAATATTAATATATATGCGGGCAGATTGTTCCCTGTATTTATGTCTTAGTCAAATAAATCAGAATTTTAGCAGATTTGTCTATCTTACAACTCTCCCTTGACAGTAACAAATGCAGTTTTATTAGCAAACCAATCCATGTTCGAAGACTAAACATGTTCCGTGCGTGTCAGCCCCACCAATGACCCAGCATGAGGAGCCAATCACCCAGATCTCTTCTCCCATTGTCTTGTCTTGTTCTTTCATTGCTGATGCTTTTACAGACGAATACATAGCGGGCTGCTTATATTTAGAAAGTCATTTTGAAAGTGTGTTCAATGTGAGAGAAAAGCAGAACTGTAAACTAAATTATCTTGTCCCATGCCAGACAAAAGCGTGGTTCCCCATCTCCTTTCACTACATTCCTCTTACTTGGTTGTTTGTTTAAAAAGTCTCAAAGCACATCAAATGGCATTATCTGAGAATTCAATCGGCAGTATGTAATGTGGCAGATTAGAGTATCCAGAAAATGTCTTTTATAAAACCCCACAAGAATAAAGAGATAGTTTACCACTCTCCACCTTAGTCCCATTGGATCTGTATAACATGAAAGATAAGCAGAACTTTAAGCCTTGGCTTCTCTTATGCCAGAAAAATGATAAATAAGTTATTAAAAACTGATGTTCTTGGCAGTGATGGGGTGCAGGACTACACACGCTACACTAAAATATGGCACCTCGGCATAGTGAATATTTTAAGCTGAGGGAATCTGAGAAACGGCATGTGCAAGAAAGGACTTTCTGACCGTCCCCTAAGCAGGTCATGAAACCCTCATGTGCGAGGTGCCCTCTTTATACATATTCATCTCCAAGACACTGAGAGGAATGCAAGGAAACAGGCCTTACTGTTTCCCCTAGTTCACTACACTTAGCTCAGACCCTTTGTTATCTTGTCACATTTTCCCACAAACGTCCACTCTTCATCAAGCCTAGCATTAAAAACTCAGGTATAACTGCTTCTTTGGGTCTTCATTTCCTTTTGAAGTCTTCCCTCTCATGTAAAACCTGTGTTTAAAAAAAAAAAAATTATGCTTTTATCTTGTTAATTTGTCTTTTGTTACATGCCTTTGCCCTAGAACTTAGAAAGGGAGAGGAAAAAGTCCGCCTTCCCTCCAGCAGCATAGTATGCTAAGGGAAAATAAGACAGAGGCCTCCAAGGATTGAACCAGGTTAATGAAACTGCTTTCCTAAGACTGAAAAAATGGAAGAATGTATCCTCGGCAACTAGCTCCACTGAAGATCCCAGGCAAGCCAAAAGTGGCTTTGCAGGTGTGTTTGGGGACTAGATAATGGGAAGGAGAGGCTGCTGCCAGGGAAGCCGCCTGCCCTCGAATGGCCATAGACGCTGGGGCAAGGGGGAGCAACAGAGTTCATCTTCACCTCACAGACCACTTTCTTGGATACCAAGAAGCCTCCAAAAATTTGCGGACCCCTAGCACTCCCCTAGTAAGAGTGAAGACAAATCTGCAAATAAAGAAACCAAGATTTTCCATCAAATCTGGTAGGTGTCCAATTTGATTCCATTTTTTAAAAATGAAAAACTATACCATTTTTATACCTCCAGTGTGGGACTGCAAATTATACTCATTACCGTATATTTTAATTGATGTCGCATGGCTCAAATTTGAACTAAGTATTTAAATAAGTACAGTAACCCACACCATTAGGAGGATAGTAGAGACTTTTTAATTGCACCGAATAAAAGATTCTCCTTCTCCTAGTGATCTCTCATTCTTCTTAACTCTAAGAAACATTGGGAACTAGTTTATTTTACTGTTGGATTCTGTAGAATAAATTATGAATTCGCCTTATTTTTCTCACACCACTGCCCTTCAAACAAGTTTTACTTACAACACATTCATCTACCTGTGTGGTATCTCCTGTAGGTCCCACACTTGTAGGTACCTCTCTCTCTCTCTCTCTCTCAGAACTGCCATAATGGTTTGTTTTCTTGAAGAAAAGGGAGAATGAAGCAAGCAATATGAGGAGGACTATTAGGACCTAAGGTTGGAGAGAACCACTTCCCACCTTTATACATACATACTTACCAACTATGGCCCTCCCCCATTCCCTTGCCAGTAACCAACTACGACAAAGAGTACCTATGATAGCTCAGGAAGGAGGGATGCTGTGTGGAGGAGATATGGGACTCAAATGACAACCTTCAAGAGCCCTTGAGGGTATTGAGAGGGCCCTCAGATAGCTGCTGTGTGAAGACTACATCGCACACATAGATACTTATTATTATACAGTTCAAATTTGTTTTCCATTCTCCCCTTCTTTCCTGTTTACTCCTTGCTGTTCATTGTAGCCCAGCACCTTTTTTCATACTTCACATATGTATGACAGGAATGGAAAAGAAGTTGAACATGGCATTCCCAAATTGTGATCAGCTTTTGGATCTTCTTCAATTACAGGATCTTTATTTACTCCCTGAATATGAGGAGTTATTCTGCATTTGTGCCAAGAGGACCCCATTGGTTAGGATACCTGGCGGAGTCCAGCTCCAGCAGGAAAGCGTTTCTTGAAGGAAAGGACGGCATCGGCAAGTGAGGAGACAGACACAGGATCAGGTTGTAAGCATCTTCCGCCCGATAGCCTCAGCGGGACCTCTTTTATTCATTAGAATGTTTCCTTGTTTTTCCATTCTTTTACTCTTGCTTAAAGGTTTTCTAAAGTTTATTCTTTCTCCAAAGGCAGCTTACAATGTGTGCACCCTATCTTATCAGAGTACTTATTCCATTTCTATATGTTTTCATCTCTTGTCCTTGCTCCATAGACACCACAGAGGATCACTCCTCTTAATCCTTTCCCAGAGGCTGTCAGATGATGCCCGCACCCTTTTTCCCTTAATCTTATACCATTTGTTCATGTCCTCATTATCAACTCCAGTATAAGGAATGGGAGGAGTAGGGGTAAGAAGTTAATCCTATTCCAGGGCTTGCCTCGTGGGGCATACCAGAGGTGGCCTCCTATTTGTATGCAACAGTCCCCGTACTGTGGGAACGATGACAATGAGATGCCCTTCTCTTAGAGCCCTGGTGCTTCTGAGGTGCCTGTGGGATCTCATCAATAGAATTTTTACTGGGCCTGGATCCAGCAGCTCCCTTAAACGAAGCTTATCAAAGAACTCCGCATTGCCCGTTAGATGAATTACAGATTGGAGGACATTGGTTGATTTTACTTCTTGGCCCATCGTCGGCCTTTTTGGAATCAGTTTCATTATGATTGCTTGCATAGGCATAACTAAATTTATAAATCATTTTATCATGAAATCCCAGAAAAAATTCCAAGATTATAAAGATTGCCGCCAATAAAATGAAAGGAAGTAGCAGGAGCCAGCTGTGGAGTCTCCTGATTTTCAGGATTATCTCCCATACTTGGACTTTGTCAAACAGCATGAGCAGCTTGGCTCACGCCAGATACTCATTCCTGCTGGACCTTGGGGCCAGCCGTGACTCATCCTGAAAATTGTCACGTCAAATTTTATTGATTGTTACATCAATTATTACTGATCATCATCTGCTGCTTTTTTATAGCTAAAGTCCAAGTCTAGAGCCTTCTGGAATATATCCATGACAATGGGTGGGCGCTAGATAAGAACATACTTCCTAGTCTTTCAGTGCCTGTGGCTTGACTATTATACATCTTGTGGATTCTGGTGTTAATATTTCATGTTCATGACCTTTCTGAAAACATTGTCTTCCAAATCTCGTCAAGATTGACATAAACCGGTCATTCTTTTTCTTCCAGGCATTCTCTGTCTCAAAAAAATTTTATTTATTTATTTGAGACAGAGAGCGCACATGAGAGACCCCACAAGCAGGGGGAGGGGCAAAGGGAGAGGGAGAAGCAGACTCCGCACTGAGCAGGGCTCAATTCCAGGACCCCAGGATCATAACCTGAGCCGAAGGCAGACGCTTAACCAACTGAGCCACCCAGGCGCCCCAGAACATTCTCTGTCTTTTGACAACTTTAAAGCACATTGAGGATTTGATGTTTTGCCAGTAGGAGTTGCCAATTTGCACATAAGCTTTTGTGATTTCTCAATATTCTTCTTGGTTTTCTCTCTTATTTCAATGGCCTTTTCACAAAGGACATTAGGAACTTACTGTAATCTCTCCCTTTTCAAAATAAACTTCGGTTTTATTAACACATGTCATATTGGTGGGTCCCAAATTTTGGTTAAGTCATAATGCCTCAGGACTGTAACTAACTTTTTTTTTTTCCCAATTTTTCTTCTTTTAGTGTCTGTTTCTTTTCTTCAAGAAGATCTTCCTCCATTAGATTTGGCTCCATCCCATTTTAGGGATGAAAATAAAGTGTCTCAGTGTCTTCCCCCTGATCCATAGTGTCCTAGTCTACTACTCTGAGAAAATACCAAGAGGTGTCATGATTGAGGCACCCTTGATTGTGTCCAGACCAGACTATTTGCTACATCTGCTCATTTTGTCCCCTTATAGGCAGTA